GGAGAGCTTTTTCACACAAGGCATCAGAGTGCAAAGGAAGCATTTCCTCAGCTGCTGGAAGCCTCCTCTACACCGCCTACCTCCTGCTGCTCATCAGCCGACTGCTGCTGCTCAGCCTCCGCCCCCACCACTGGATCACCACCGACTACGACCTGCTGATGAGCCGCCTGGCAGCCTACGCCTCCCACCGCATGGTCGGCCTGGCGATGGTCCCACTGGTGGGCGCCATTCTATTCTACCATCTCCACTTGCACTACCGCCGCCCGCTAAAGGCGGTGGCCGTCATGCTCTGGGAGCTGCTCGTTCTGCTCAACAACAGCGCTGATAAAGGCATTAGTAAAACACTGCACCTGCTGGCCGAAGAGGTGGTCGACCTGGCCACGTCCATTCTCCTCAAAGCCGTCTGCCAAAATCAGTGGTTTTCAGCATTCAGCATCACTTGCAGCTCAAGAGACGGCGGTCAGGAGTTGTCTGTGGCCAGAGTACGCCTTCGCCATTTCAACGGCCTCTCTCAACTCGCCCGTCAGAAGGTGGCCCTCTTTGAGCGGCACAGCGAGCTGGTACTAGCTCTGGGCATTCCCGTTGCCACAGCCATTATGGCGGCCATCCTGGGCAAGACGTTAGTCGAATTTTCCTTTTCGATTGCCACCACTACTACTACCCCTACCACCACCACCACCACCACCGCGAAGTGTCTCCTGTTCCTTCTGGAGACGCCTCTTCTGGTGGCCACCGCTCACCAAGCTCTGACCGATGCGCTCTTCCTCACCAAAGCCGTTCTCACCACCCTCTTCGCTCTCAGGTTGCAGCTGGCCGAGCTGAATCGTCGCCTGCTTAGTCGGGTGATGTTTGCAAAGCTGAAATTTAGTAGCTGTTCTAAAGGCCGCCAGCCTCAGAAACAGCTTTTTCACCTCCTCACTGCCTGGACCGCTTTCCGCGCCGACCACTCGCACGTCCTAGTCGACCTGCTGCACCTGAACCACTTCTTCTCGCCGGCGATCGCCTGGGGCAACGTCGTCCACCTCCTCCTCAACGTCTACTTCCTCTCGCTGCTCACCTTTCTCCGCCTGGACTGGCTGCCCACGCTTTTTGTCCTATGGATTCTGCTCTTTCAGTTGCTCTTTGCCGCCTTCCTCTTCCTGCTGCCCTCGGTGGCCGCGCCGCTGTACCGACTTCATCGGCTCCTCTACAGGTCACTGGCTGAAATGGAAAACAATGTTGGTGGTGGTTATCAACAGGTGAAGCAGAAGATTAAACTGACCGCCTACTATGAGCTCCTCTGCAGCCGGAAGCCCGTCTTTGTCTTCACCATGGGCGCCTTTGGGCGCATTAGCTACAAGTGGTTGCTGGAGGTAACAACTTATTATAATTGGATTACCCTTTTAAATTGCAAAATTTATTAATTGTACGCTCTTTAATCACTTTAGCTACTTCTACTCTACTCCTCGATGCTCTTCTACTCCTTTACTATTTTCATCAAGAATCGTCATAAGCAGCTGCTGATGGCGAATGAGTACAAGTAAATGATAAATAGTAGCTTCAAATGTTTTTGTTGTTAAAAATAAAGTTAAAAAAAGTTTAGCTTTTTAATTTGATTGAACTTTCAATTCAGAAATAACACCAAGGCTAGGAAGTCAACTCCCAAAACGACTTTGAAAAAGTTATAACCAGCTAAAAAGAGCGTAGAGAGAAAGGCGCAGGCAAAGCCAGGCATTCGGTACCGAGGATGAATTAAATAGCCAACTGCAAAGGCGACTCTTCCCACTGTGAAAGCGGACACAGCAGAGGGAATCAGAAAGAGCTGCGACCTCTCAGCAGCCACTGCAAAGATGAAGATGGTCAACTCGAAGAAGATTATCTGTTCGATTGTGTTAGTCAGCGTGCGGACCGGCTTCAAGACTAGGTGTTCATAGCCGGAAAGTGGGTTTCGCGTGATCGGGTAGTAGCCTCGGTAGAAGATCACCTCCAAAATGGTTAGGGCCAAAACGGAGGCTGGAAGCACTTGCAGTTTGAGTGTGTACAGCAGTCGATCGAGTGTTTCGAGGTTTGCTCTGCTCTGATTCGATTGCTGGGTTGATGATGATGATGATAATGAAGGTGGCAGGCTGAGAAAGGATCCAACTGACTGTGAATTGAAGTGAAAGAGGACGGCAAGGCAAGTCAGCCCTAGAACGACCAGCAAAAAGGGAAGCGCGATAGACGGCAGAGTGTAGGACCTTTTCTGGTGCTCGCTAAAGTGCTCCTCAGCGCTGGTGGCCGCTCCTCTGCTGCTCAGCTGCTGAAGTCCTTTCACTTGCTGCCTGGTGGACATGTTTTGGGTTTCAATGCAGGGTTGAGTGTGGATATAATACAAATCAAAAGTTAACTGTATGGCGAAAGCAGCAATTTGTATCTGACTCAGTCAGTCAAGTCACAGAGCCTCCTCTTCAACTTTTTATTCCCCGCTAACCAAGGGGAAACTTTTTTGTCAAACTAATTATGCGCAATTATCTTAAAGTGTATCTTATACAAATGAAGTAATGAAGGTTCGATCAATTTTGCGATAATTAGCAAACAATTTCCTAAATCTTTTTCGAATACTGAAAAAAGGGAGGTGAAAATCGATGAGGGGAAAAATTGAAACACGCAAGTGCCGCAGCGGTGCTGTCATCTGGGCACCTAGGGAAACAAACGCAACAGCTCAAAGTCAGGTGTTTGAGCAGGCAGCGAAAAAGGTAAACACAGAGGAAAGAGATACACAGAAATGCAAAAAAGCAAACACTTTTACTGGAGTTAAAATGAACACAAAGCTTGGAAATGGTAAAATGATTTGGCGAAAGAAGATTGAAGCTGCTGCGAATTTAATCAAAGTTGGTGGTGGTGGTGGTGGTGATGCTACTGCTCATTGACCCAGGGCTCATCATTGGCGTTGATGCCAAAAATCTGGCGCATCTCCTCAACGCTCTTGCCCTCCACCTGTTTGGCGATCACCTTGGAGGCGTAGGCTTGCAGATTCTTGATGTCCAGAAAGTTGGCCGCTCTCAGTAGCTCCCAGAGGCCGGTGTTCAAATCGATGCGACTGAAGAAGTCGTTGTCCCATGCGGGCAGCTCGCCTTCGCGAAACTCGTCCCAGGCCTGGGTCTCCTCAAACTTCTCGTCCATCTCCACAAAACCGCCGGCCTGGTCGTCCTTGTGGTGCTCCAGCCAGCTGACCACCAGGGCCAGCGTATCGCCGTCGCATTCGCCCTTGTAGAATTGCTCATCACCATTTCCGGCGGTGGCGGCGGAGGTGCAATTGTCCAGCAGCTCTCGAATAACAATCGACAGGCGGACCGCTTTCTCCGAGATGCGAAAGCGCTTGCCGTCGGTGGACAGCAGACAATGGAAGGTCTCTGAAGTGTTGGTGGTGGAATCGGAGGAGGCGGTGGGCCCGTTGTTGGAGATCAGCGAAGCCATCATCACAGGAAGATCAGAAAGCGATTGGATTGAAGATCGAAGCGTGGGGAATGAAATTGGAGAAGAGCTTGTTCTGAGCACAGAGCAGGGAAACAGGGGGCAGAGAAGATGGCACAGGAATCCAAGTGTGTGGCTGTTGAAGTGGCTGCAGCAATGCACGTGGATTCCCTTTTTATACTGCCCCAAGGAAGATAGCTGGTCTCTGGAGACACAGAAAGGGAAGGAGACAGAGGCAGTGGCTGTGGCAGTCACGTGTTGGCGGGAAACACGCCGTTGGCAACAGCCTGTTGCGAGGCGGGTGGCTATTGGCCAGAGCAGACCTCGCTAAAAAGCCCGCCAATTTTGAACTTACTTTAGA